AAGCAGGTACGTTAGATGACGCAACCATAACGTCACCCAAAGCCGTATATAGATTATGGGCTTTGTTCATCGCAAGTTGTGAGTGGTACTTCGGTTGAGTGATGCCTTTCAGCCTTTTCACATTGCGCATGCGTCGTCCAAATATATATATATATATATATATAACATATATATATCGTGAAGCTAATAGTGACGCACACCAAGAAATGCTTGCGTAAAGGTGGGCGTTGCTACCCACACTGACGCAAGGTACGTTGCCACAAAAGGCAACGCAAACCTGGCTTAAGTACTGCGGTAGCACATGTGTCACACCTCATAATAATCAGACAGAAGAAGAACATCGAGATGAATACCATGATGTTTGGAGAATCCAGTGTCCATGACAGGATATCGGGTCGTAATGGACAATTCAAAATAAAAACTGATTTTCACGGGATGAGAAATAGCAGTCAGTACATTACCTAGTTTTGATCAATGTTGTGCTCAATGTTTTATTTCGATTTTCCATCTAAAACCCTTTTCATCGATGCATAGGCCTGTCGCGATTCAGGAACAGTATGCTTTAATATTTTAATACCGCAATGTGAAGTTAGTTAATTATGAACTTACTCATAGCTATGCAGCCCACAATCTCAAAAACCAAGTTTTGCGGAGATATTGTAAACCTTGTAAACGCCCAGTTTGGCTAGTCATAAGGCGTCCCCTATTAAATTTTAGAACCTTTTCTTCTAGATGGATAATGAATATAACCAAAATATTTGATTAAAGATGCATTATGTAACATTTAGATAAAGAGCTATAATAGTTCCAAAATAGATAATTCAAAATCATTATATTAAAAATTTCATTCAAATTACTTTAGTCTCAGCGACGTTATCACTGTTTGCAGTTTTGACATAGATTGTTTTGACATAGATAGACTGAGACTCAGCCTAGCTTCTCCATTGTTAAATTAAATCATTCAATGGTGATCGATCGTAGAGAGAGTTGATTATAGGCTTGCCATGTGAAAAAAGTCTAAATAATAATTTATATAAAATTTGAAGCCAAAATAAAAACGTGTAAAAGGCAGATTTAGCGCTTAGATAATCCATCTTTAATAAATTGCCATGTGTAATCCGCTTCGTCCAGTAACAACAACTGAACACCTGTATTTTCGTCACATTAAATATTAAAATCGGTGGATGGTAACATTGTACTTTAAGACGTGTGGGTGTGTTGGTGTGTAGTTGGTGTCACAGACATTGCATCTTCCCTAAGTCAAAAAATTGTCTTGCTCCGTCATACAAAAAATATCTTGGCGGCCCTAAAACTATGCATAATCACTGGGCCTCTACATGGACCGTGGCTAAGAGTGTTATGGATTATGATGACCTTCGCCTTGACTCATTTTACAAGCACATATATATAAAGTGTACTAGAAAAGTATTCGTCATTTTGTGGTGGATCGTTATTCAAAGGTCGCAATATGTGACATATAAAACACCAATTCATTCCTTTACAAGGCTATATAATCACATTTTTTACAAAGTTGAATAGACCAGCGTGGTCTGTATATTAAATGAAGATAACAACCTTAGAAATGTTTTACAAGTTTTGTTGACGTCAACGCATTGATTGTAATTCAAGCGGTTGCACGATATAATACAACAGAACTGGAGGTGGGCTGTATGAATTCCATTCAAAGATATTTTCCCGTGGCCTCGCCCGCCGATTGCGTTGTTTGGAATATCTGTTATTCAAATAATTTTATTCATTATTAAAAATCAAATTTTGGATAGATGGATAGAGAACAAGCTAAATAAAAAGCGATTTTTTTTGTACAATCAAGGGCCATAATTCAGGAAGTTACGATCCGATATGCGTGAATATTGATAGGAACCAAGAACTTTAGGTTATAAACATGTATTTCAAGTTTCATCAAAATCGAATCAAAATTGTGTCCTCTAGAGGTTCCACAACCTTGATATACCATATATTTACATTATTTGCGTACGAGGGGCGGCCATTTTGTCAGGCAGTTTTGGACCGATTTTCATGAAATTCGCACTCAACCATCATTAGGGTGTAACAGAGATATATTCAAACTTTTCTTTTCAATCGAATAAAAAGTGTGACCTCTAGAGGGACCACAAGCTAAAAACGCGATTTTTTGTACAATCAAGGGCCATAATTTCAGGAAGTTACGATCTCATATGCGAGATTATGGAAAGGACCCAAGATCTTTGGGTTATAAACATGTATTTCAAGTTTCATCGAAATCTGATCAAAATTGTTGCCCCTAAAGGGTCCACAACCTTTATATACTATATATTTACACTATTTGTGTACGAGGGACAGCCATTTTGTTCGGCAGTTTATGTCCGAATTTCACGGAATTCGAACTCAGCAATCAGTAGGGTGTAACGGTGATACATCCGAAGTTTTTTTTTTAACGGGACTGTGTTAATGAAAATGTGTAACGGCGTAAATAAGTTGCCCTTTTAACGAGCGCTTATCCAGCAGTGGTTTTTCCACGCGGATTAGGATTTCCTACAAAAAATTAAAATGGGCAGGGTTGAAAGATGTATTGCCAGGGATCTAAACAGATCAAGTATTGGAATATTTCTCCCCAAAAGTTTCTAATTGTTACTATTTTGTTTTGAACGCTGAATTTACAGACGAGCGCTTTTCATTTTTAACAGAATGAAATTGGGTTTAACGTCCTACTTTTCTGCACCGACTGGCCTAATGAAGACGAACATATGCCATGCAGTGTGCAATGGGGGAAATTTTGCAACTCTCAAGGATTCATTACGCACACGCCAATGTGTACATGGGACCTCGGTTTTTCGTGCCACCCGAAGGTCTATACGTTGTCCCTTGCCAACCCTCCGCCCTGCACCCGAGTAACACAATGAAACAAATACATTAGTATGTCGCTTTTCTAGATAACATGTTTCTTCAGTCAATTAAGATATTTAAAACAGTGATTATAAGTCAATTCAATCATTATATACTGCGCCAAATACAAAATAAATGGGGGGTGGGGGGTGGATTGCCGAATGGTTAGCACGTGCATGCTGTATCATAAAGCCTGTCATTGAGTCAACTGGCGTGGTTTCGAACCCCCGGTTGTACGTGACAAGAAGTAGGGTCGCCTGTCCAATCTCGTGGGTTTTCTCCGGGTCCTCCGGTTTCCTCCCACTGCTAAAGACCCCTACGCGCAAGCGAATTATTGAAATAAAATTAAAACCATATGTTAGTCCCGAAATGACCTAGTTTGTGTCGAGTGGACGTTAAACCCCATTTCTCGCTCTCTCTCTCAAAATAAATGGCCACTTTAAATTTATTTTAAAGAAACTGAAAATTGTGAAATTAATTTACAACGAACAGACATTCTCTTTTATAGCATTTAGCCAGCGCTATAATTTTAAAATTTAATAAGCCTGATCTTGTTTACAAAATAGGGAGCCAAGGTAGTCAAGTGGGTAAGACGCTGACTCGCTAGCCTGGGGGTCGATCCCTGCATTCGCCGAGATAGTTCACAGATGTCTAGTCGTTCGGATGGGATGAAAACCCGAGGTCCCGTGTATACACTGGCGTGCACGTAAAGTTCCCTTGGCAGTTGGATTCGATATAAGAGTAGGCCATAGTGCCGCTCCCCAGGCAACATTTCCCTCATAGCACAGTGTTTGGCGTATGCCCCTCTAACTCTGTGGGAGCAGAACAGTAGGACGTTAAACCCCATGTCATTTGTTTACAAAATACCCACTGAGAAAGGCTATCAGAGTCGGTTGTTTAATTCCCCAGAAACCCTCCCAGGCGTCAATCTAATTAATATACAGATCTATATTTCGTTTCGTTTTTTTATACTTTCGATGGCCTACATTACATGAAGATCTGACAAGTTATAGCGATAGGTCACGTCAGGGGTCAAAAGACCGACTTATGACCCGATGATGTCAGACATTTGATTAACCAATCAGCATTGATGTTACTAGTGGATTACCCACAGTTCCGTGCAAAACACGCCTAAAGCTCGCCGTAATAGACCGTTTCATTGGCTTATCCCTGACACCATTCAGAACACGAGTTAAATAACAACTCTTCCAGATCCAAGTGTCGTAAAGACAAGTAAAACGAAATTTTGTACTATAAAAACGAAACGAAATAGGATCTGTGTTTTAACCAGATTGCCCAGGCGTAGAATCAAAACGGAAGTTTCTAATATTTTGGGGAATAGCCCTTTTAAAAGGGTAAAAGGTAAACTAGATCCAAGTTCAGTCTTTGAAAAGAGTTAGGGTTAGAGGTAGTATTCCCCAAAATACTCATTTATATAAATTGGCAGAAATACCCGAACTTCCCCAACCGGCCTAGCTACAATTAGCATCTCTCACTTATCTTGTCCATTATCACTTTTTTATAGGTCATTGTGAAATCTAATTTGTAGAAGAGTTCGTCCAAGTATGATCGTCTTTAAAATGTAATTTATAAATGAGGTTGATGGTTCTATACTTTTGAGTTGGTTTGTCAAGGAAATAGGGGTCCCGAGTGTGGCGAGATATGTAGGTAATGGATGTGGATTTTTCACGTCAAGGGAGGTTACTCGATTTACGTTAGTGCTGAACACTGATATATCTTTCTAATGTAAAATAGATGTCAAGATCTTACCTCTTCTCAAATCTGCACAATATGTATCTTTCATGCGTCCAATATCTGAGCAGTTCTGAAATATATTCCACCAGGTAAATCATTGTAAATATATGTATTTGGGCGATTATTAACTACAATTGGGAGTGAGGGCAGTCACAAAATTAAAAATTCATCGATGCTGAATTTAAAGTAAAGCAATATCTTATTGAACATCACCGTAAGTTAATACTTTTATTAAAACCTCTATACTTGGGAGTTATAAATAGATTCCTGACTAAAGATTTTATGACTTTAGAACTTGTTATTTACTAGTACAATAAAATAATGTACCTTATTTATAAATATCATTCTCAGACCAGCCATCATCATATACGAGTCGAACCTGTTAGAACCAAACAACAGGACAGTAAAGTTTACATTTGGATCTATATGGGAGATGGTATGACCCCCTGGGGTAATAGGCAAACTGATTCCTTGAAACACATCGGTTCCTTGCACTTCTTGCCAGTTCTTGTCAGATACAGTTTTTCCATCCAATGTTAAACCGGAAGTGTCATTAGCCCTTATCACCACCGACACAGAGTTATAAAAGTTACTGCCATCATAAGTTTTGGGTGTTGCGAATGAATAATTAACGAAATAGTGTTCAATGGAAGGAACTATAACCATCGCTGGATCTCCACGATTCGCCACGGTTGTTTTTGAGCGAACGAACATGGCCACCAGGACAGGTTTGTTAGTAGTTATTAAAGCGAATGTTTGTCGTGGAATGGTAATTAAAGTGTAGTAACCTTTGTGTATTGGGCCTATGGTTTCGTTGTAAGGCATTGTTATAAAAGTGTCGTCTTCACTAACTACAATTTTTATATAATAGTCCGCCCAACCGTTATATGGGGGTATAGTTATGAATGTCTTCCCCCAGGATTCAACTGGTAGCATTTGCTCTACAAGATGGTCAGAGCTCGTTCCGTCAATAGATACCCGTTTGCTGCCACTGACAATGGACACTGGTTGGTTGGTAATTATGTGAAGCCCTGTAAGATCAATCTCGGACGATTCGTTTAGGAAAGTGAAGGTTTGAAAACGATTGAGTTGAACCGTGAATGAATCATTAAATGCAACACCATCGACTACGAGACTGACGTCTGTTGGCAGCATGATGGTGATACTCGTATTGTCAACAACTCCTATGATTTTGAAAGTAGCTTTACTCTTCCAGGTTAAGAGATAATAGTCGCTACCCAAAGCATCCACGGGCAGGACCAAAAATGAATCACTGGACAATCGCTCACTATTTATGGCACGAACAGCAATGTCACCACTGGCAGTAATATAAATCCCATTGTTCTCCACAGATTTCGAACTATGTTGTAGTTCTAATGGAATTGTTTTACGAATGGTTTCTCCAGCTAATATACTAAATGTGGAATCTAAACCCAGTTCTTTCCTCAAAGGGGCACTTATAGAAACATTAACACCCGTGTCTGCGATATTTGTTATATAAATCTCCATATTCGTAGTTAGTTTTCTATTTGCGTAACCAGAATTTTCTAGAAACCCGAAGATAAATTCCGTCCCACTGCTGTCTTGTCCTGAAATATTAATGATGTTATTTTATTTTCTGGAAGAAACAATGAAAAATAACCTAATTTGGTATTAGCTATAAGGAATTATTTATTAGGATATAAGAAAGAACATAAAGATTATTCTTGGTGATTAAATCTGTTAGTTTTGTGAACAAAGCAATATTGCTCAAAGGCTACTGAATTACATTGAAGACGTAAATGTTCTTAATGAAATGAAATGAAATGGGGTTTAACGTCCTACTGTTCTGCTCCTATACTGGGCTAATGAAGACGGGCATACGCCATACAGTGTGCTATGAGGGAAATTTTGCCCGGGCAGCGGCACTATCGCCTACTTTTATATCGAATTCCAACTGCCAAGGGATCTTTTACGTACATTCCAATGTATACACGGGACCTCGGTTTTTTTCGTCTCATCACTGACAAGGGGGAACCACGCCGGAAAATCTGGATGAACTTTCTCGGCCAATGCAGGGATCGAACACCCGACCTCCAGGCTAGCGAGCCAGCGTCTTACCCACTTAGCCACGTGATCCCCACGATAATGTTCTACCCTATAGAGTTTCAGTATGTAAATCAGAAACCAAAATGTGGCGTAAGAACAAATTATTATTTTCCTTGTCTAAATGGTCGCTAGGTTCGAAACTCATTCAAGAATTTCTATTCTTTTGTTATATAAGTGACATGATAATCATTATGTCAATTATATAGACATGGCTATCCGGCGGGATTAGTGGTTTATTATGGACAACTAATACGGAAACTAAAAGTTCGTGACTAAAAGATCCCGATGTTAGCCGAGAAAGATATTTAGGAAACACAGGGAAAAGCGTCTGGTTGGTCAATGGGGCGAAAAACCGGGTCCCATGTATATCATTGACAACACGGTAAACAACCAATGACAATTTCAAAATAAAACTATAATTCGTAGCCTCGCGACCAGGGCAGATTCAAAAATAGCGAAGCAAGGCTAGGACTCGAATCTCCAGTACGGTGGTTACGATCAACGAATACATCTTGTCAAAACTACAAACATTGGCTCAGAATAAAGTAATTTGAATGAAATTTTCAATATATATTCATTGAGTCAACTGGCGTGGTTTCGAACCCCCGGTTGTACGTGACAAGAAGTAGGGTCGCCTGTCCAATCTCGTGGGTTTTCTCCGGGTCCTCCGGTTTCCTCCCACTGCTAAAGACCCCTACGCGCAAGCGAATTATTGAAATAAAATTAAAACCATATGTTAGTCCCGAAATGACCTAGTTTGTGTCGAGTGGACGTTAAACCCCATTTCTCGCTCTCTCTCTCAAAATAAATGGCCACTTTAAATTTATTTTAAAGAAACTGAAAATTGTGAAATTATTTTACAACGAACAGACATTCTCTTTTATAGCATTTAGCCAGCGCTATAATTTTAAAATTTAATAAGCCTGATCTTGTTTACAAAATAGGGAGCCAAGGTAGTCAAGTGGGTAAGACGCTGACTCGCTAGCCTGGGGGTCGATCCCTGCATTCGCCGAGATAGTTCACAGATGTCTAGTCGTTCGGATGGGATGAAAACCCGAGGTCCCGTGTATACACTGGCGTGCACGTAAAGTTCCCTTGGCAGTTGGATTCGATATAAGAGTAGGCCATAGTGCCGCTCCCCAGGCAACATTTCCCTCATAGCACAGTGTTTGGCGTATGCCCCTCTAACTCTGTGGGAGCAGAACAGTAGGACGTTAAACCCCATGTCATTTGTTTACAAAATACCCACTGAGAAAGGCTATCAGAGTCGGTTGTTTAATTTCTATTCTTTTGTTATATAAGTGACATGATAATCATTATGTCAATTATATAGACATGGCTATCCGGCGGGATTAGTGGTTTATTATGGACAACTAATACGGAAACTAAAAGTTCGTGACTAAAAGATCCCGATGTTAGCCGAGAAAGATATTTAGGAAACACAGGGAAAAGCGTCTGGTTGGTCAATGGGGCGAAAAACCGGGTCCCATGTATATCATTGACAACACGGTAAACCACCAATGACAATTTCAAAATAAAACTATAATTCGTAGCCTCGCGACCAGGGCAGATTCAAAAATAGCGAAGCAAGGCTAGGACTCGAATCTCCAGTACGGTGGTTACGATCAACGAATACATCTTGTCAAAACTACAAACATTGGCTCAGAATAAAGTAATTTGAATGAAATTTTCAATATATATTCATTTTGCAATTTCTATTTTTGAAATAATATAGAGAGAACGGCGAGCTCTTTATCCACCTCCTTCATATGCACACGTAATGATAGTTAATATAAATAGCCGTGTGGAAATCCTACCTTCAATCTTTATACATTGACAGATTAACATCAATATTCCATGTAAAAAGAAACTATCATATTTTGATGACATTTTGAATAGGTCTCACGTTAGTCGTATCTCCATCGACTCTACTCAAAAATTAGAAATATTTAATATTTTGTCAATGTTTATGCAGGTTTAATCTTGATCTTGCACACGATCAGTGATACCACTGGACAATTGTGGATAACCCTGAGATTAAGGGTTTTAATCCGTTTATCTTCCTAATCTCTACACAGTAAAACAATGGATATATCTATCATATGGCTAATCTGTGCAGATCACCATTGCTGTTACTGATTGACAATTCAATGTAATGGTTTATTGTATGCATTTTGTTAAATCCCCAACAACAGTAATAATTCAGTAAAATTTAACACCACTTTCAAAAGTATTCGCCATTTATATAATACGGTTGTTGAGAGACAGATTGTTAAGAAATAATAAATAGTTTGAATTCTGATTTAATTTTGTAATCTGTCTGTCACTTTAAACTTAAAGATACATTATGGGAGATTAGATAAAGAGTTGATAGTCCTCACTATAAAAGGTAAAAACTAGATACCATAAAGGGAATTTGCTGAAAATTTCAGTCAGATTGATCCACTATGAACCGAGATTTCAGCGATTGAATTTTCGGCCTAGCCTCGATCATCATTACTAAAGTTATACAATAAAAAACATAGTCCCGATTATTCATTTCATGATTAAATTATGAATGTAAGTCGAACAGCAAATCAGAACCTAATCCAATAAACATCGCATGCTAACGATGTCATCGAGAGTTGATTATGGTCTGGATAAGTTAATTAATGTCTAATTAATAATTTAGATAACATTTTAGGCCTAAAGAAAGATCTGCAATAGGCAGATTTAGCTCTTGCATATATATGTTTAATTTAATCTGTATGTATGACAGTTGCAATGACCGGAAAACTATCAAATCTTGTATAAAGATTTGATATGTGTTCTTTTTTTGATAGCACAGGCAAGTATTCAGAAGGTTTACTTTATGACAATAATATTGAAATCAGTGAGCAGCCATTATGGTATAACTATAATATGAAACTGGACCATATTCAAAATTGGCATAATAATGGTGTGAGTTTAATTTCAGATTTGATATCCCCAGAAGGAAAGTTTTATAAATATCAAGAATTGAAAGATATTTACAAAATTAAAGGTACATGTACATTCCTTTGAGACTTTAACGAAGGCTAAAAAGGGCTGTTCAGTTTTTCAAAAGTACGGAAGCGTATAGGGGTCATGCAAAATTTTGTAGAAGACCTCGAAATCCTGCGATCCTGTTATACTTTCTCGAGATCTCTATTTAATGTTCTCGAAATTCCCTAACAATTTTCTCGAGAATCTCCCATCCTGTGTTAACTATCTCGAAAATTCGAGTTAATTTTCCCGGGATCTTGCCATCCTGTGTAGATTTTCTCGAGATCTCGGCTATTTTTATGTGTGCGTGTACTTTTTATACGTCCACATTCATAATGTGAACGTATTATGCCGTCGCCCCTGTCTGTGTGTGTGTGTGTGTGTATGTATGTATGTGTGTGTGTGTGTGTGTGTGTGTGTGTGTGTGTGTGTGTCTGTGGTTCGCCTACAGGGCGCAATTCTTCATGGATTTTCTTCAAACTTGGTATACTTATTCCTTATACCCCAAGGAAGATCCCTATTGTTTTTGGTGCATGCCCGACCCCCCGGGGCAGAGCCACGCCCATTTCTAGTATTTGTTTGTTTGTCGTCTACAGGCCACATTTCTTAACTAATCATCTTGAAACTTTGCATACACATTCTTTGTACCCTAAGGAACATCCCTATCGTTTGGGGTGCATGCCCAACCCCCAGGGGCAGAGCCACGCCCATTTTCTTTTCTTTGTATGTCTGTGTGTCGCCTATACTAGGCCACAATTCTTAATCAATCGTCTTGAAAAATTTTCATATGAATTGCTTATACCCTAAGTATGATCCATATTGTTTTTGGTGCATGCCCGACCCCCAGGGGCAGAGCCACGCCCATTCTTTATATTTATTTATTTGTTTGTCATCTACAGATTGCATTTCCTAACGTATCATCTTGAAACTATGCATACTTATTCTTTGTACCCCAAGGAACATCCCTATCGTTTGGGGTGCATGCCCGACCCCAGGGGCAGAGCCACGCCCATTTTCTTTTCTTTTTATGTCTGTGTGTCGCCTAGAGGCCACAATTCTTAATCAATCGTCTTTAAAAATTTTCATATGAATTGCTTATACCCTAAGTATGATTCCTATTGCCTTTGCTGCATGCCCGACCCCCAGGGGCAGAACCACGCCCATTCCTTATATTTATTTATTTGTTTGTC